CGTCAAAAACGCGCTTACCCCAACCCTTCTCACCCCCATGCAGGGAATTGGGGCCGTCGTTTTGGGTCAATTGGATCTTCTGGCCATTCAAGTCCTGAATCAGGCCATCCTTGATACGGTTTGCAACGCGGCCGATGGTGGCACCATAGTGCGGGGAGTTGTGCTTGACATAATCCTCCTGCGTGGGGAAACCCAAAACGATGTTCTTGTCACCGACCCGGAACTCTTGAATGATGGCGCCTAAAGGCAAGAAGGTGAATGCAGCTTGTTCGGCAGACATAATGAGGGGTTTATTTATTTTTTGGGGAGAATAGGAAGAAGATTGAGAAAAGTATGGAGAGTATGGAGAGTACGGAGTAGAGAATGTAGAGTAACTATGTACATTTCATTTTTAAGGGACATGACGTTACAACCCCGCAATCTGCGGGATCTATCACCGACAATGACACCTTGCAAGAAGATATTTTGTTTGTTTAGCATAAATGTTGATATTTAAGGTGTTAAGGGGTATGTTGTTGGCCTGGAGGGTCCCTGGTTTTAAGGTGATTAGGCTAAAAGAGAGGGAGAGGGAGAGGGAGAGGGAGGAGAGAGAGAGCTTTGAATTAGCCGGGTTAGGGTTCAAGTTCAACCCGTGACCCGTTGACCCGTGACCCGTTGACCCGTCGATTCATACAACATACAAAAAGCTCCCGGACTACCTGGGGCCACCTGGGGCCATATATAGTTTTGTATAACTAACTAACTACAACATATAATATGACTAGTTATCCAAGTCAAAAAGGTAAGGCTGTATTGAATTGGTATTCCCCCAGAAATTTCACAATACACACGGGTACTCCAATATAATCAACGCATAAAACCATAAAAGCGGACATAACAAATCGGCGTTAGGGTAAGCCTGCATCCGGTCGGAGGAAACGGGCCCCGGCGTCCGAAGGGATCTATACCCCGGACTCGGTTCTGAAAGAAAAAAAAAAAAAAAAATAGGAGACATGCCAAGGTTTTTATTAATAATTGGCAGGTACCTAAATATTAAGAGGGTTGGCATTGGATTGGCACTGGATTGGCATTGGATTGGATTAACAAATGTATTAAGATGTATTTGATGTATTAGGCAGGCATTTTCTTCTTAAGTTGACAGCACGTTGGATAACTGGGGCTGTGTCAGGGGTTGCGAGACCGAATACGATGTATACGAATACCTAACTAGTTATACGATTATAAGTAGTTCTACTACATAACTAACTAATATTGTAGTATTCTAGTAACTATTCTAGTATTCTAGTAACTAAATACAATAAAACGGTAAATCGGGATTTCGGCGACTTAATGGTTTTGGTCTCCGAAAGGGTTAGCAAGCAAAAGAGGTCTCTCACGTAAGCAGCAAAAATCGCTCAAATGTGGAGATTTCGGAGAGAAGAAGGAACCTTAGGAATTAGATCCGCTGAGTCAGAAGATCAATAATCAAATGAAAAATCAAATTCATAATCAACTTGATCTGGGCTGGGCAGAGAAAGAAAGAGAATATTAATACTATTATAATAATAATATTATTTATATTATTTGTTGTATATATTATTATAATAGTATTAATATTCCCCTTTGGATCAATATTAGTCATATTCAATGAATCAAGACCCCTGGAGCCAGAGAGCCCAGAGCCAGAGAGCCCAGAGCCATAGAGCCCAGAGCCATAGAGCCCGAGAACTTAGGGAGCAAATCGGCATTTTCCTCCGCCAAAGATCTTTTCGATCTGAAACGGTACCTGGGCATATATGTTGTATATGTTGTATATAGAGATAGAGAATGAGATCATTTCCCGTTTTGGATGGTGTAACGGTGACCTCAAAAACTTCAATTGAAAAATTGGAATTCGAATTAGAAGAACCAGAATAGACGCCTCCTTCGAAACCCCGTTTTAAAACTCCAGAGAAAATAACCCCAAAAGACAAAAAGACAAAAGGCCGAAACTCCAAATCCCGAAGAAATAAAAAAACAAACCCGGTACACTATACAAAGGTGATTAGGATCCCAATTGCGCCTGAATCCAGTCAAAAGAGACCTTGGGGGAAAATAGCCCCAGAAGAGAAGAGAGAGAGAAAAGCAGAACATGTATAGTATACATGCATCACGTCATACGGCGTTAAAAAAAAAAAAAAAAGGTCCAAAAGAAAGTAACCTTCCCCCCAAAAAAAAAGAAAGGAAGGAAAAAAAGAATGATAAAAAAAAAAAAGAATAAAGCTCAGATCGAGGTAATCTCCGTAGGATTGGGATTGAGGAACTGGTTGAAATCCTCGTAGTCATTCTTGGAATCAAGATAGGACCCTTGAGACAAGCAATTCATAGGTACCTGACGATTGAACATAGGCGATGATAACTGTTGGTCGTCAAAGGGCATATTGGAGTAATCGGCCGTGGACATCAAATCCATCTCGTCGAAAGGATTGAACCCGTTACTAGGCCATTGTTGTGGACCTTGCAAGGCCAATGGGTTGACCACCCCTTGCATGGACATGGGTTGGGCGAATTGCGGGGTGGTGGGCATCTGAGGTTGATGAGGCTGCTCGGTCTTGATAGGCGCACGTGTCGAGGGACTATATGTGGGTGGCGTGGGCGGCATGTGTTGCTGGGAGAAAGCATCGGAGGAGAAGCGCGAGCGAGGCACGGGGGACTGAGGGCTATCGGAACCACCGTCGGAAGATTCCTGTCGTTGCATGCCGGCATTGGTGTGCCATAGATCCTGTTGTAGGGCTTCGGAATTTTCTTCAAAGCGCTCACCCTTGGAGCCATCGAGGGCGCCGAGGCGCATAAGGAGGTCGTGAGTAAGTGGGTGACCGTTGGGTTCGAGTTTCAGGTGCTCGCCGGGCCAGCCTTCGCCTTCAATGTTGCGTCGATAGAGTTCCTGGAGGCCATTGACAAGCCAGGATTGTTGCTGTTCGAGCATTTCAACGTATCTAGAACGGGGGAAGATCGCTGGTCAGTGGGGGTGGTTCTTTAGGGTTGTGAATATAGCTCTATAGCTTACCCCTTCGGGTACACTTTGTCATGCGCCTTCTTGCGCTCTCCAAAGACACAGATGGCATTATCTGCACGACAACGGGAACAAGGGCTGGATCCATCACACTGTCCGGGTCAGTGTATGTTGGGGACGATTGCTCGTCTTTTTTTATATTTTACATACCTTGGATTTCTTCAAACGACACCGATCGCATGCTTTGCATACTCTTTTACGGACATTGCTGTCGGAATGCGAATGCTCGGAGGTTGGAGTTGATTGGCGAGCTGCCATGATTTAAGTCGAAATTGGTGATATAAATAGAGAGAGAGAGAGAAAGAGAGAGAGAAAAAAAAGAGAGGGTATAGGTATAGTAGGGGAATTTGACCCTTAGCTATACTACCAAAGCTCTTTAGGATCGACGTCAAATTGGGGGATCAATGATATAATGATGTTAACAGATCATTCAACAGAAACTGAGTTCAGTTAAAGTAGACGGATGCAGGTAGGTAATCCTTGGGACCAGAAGAAATAATTTGAGAAGTATAATATATCCCTGGTGGTATAGGTAACAGGTTGGAAGAGTCGTATATGAAGTAATAGAGAAAAGTAACAGTTCCAGGTCACCATGGGAGTAGATGTGCATATATAGGAATTTAAAAAAAAGAGGGGACCTTTTCTAGTTTTGGATTTATTTATTATTATTATTATTATTATTATTTGATTATTATTTGATTAGTTATTGAATTCGAGTCATGGATTATAGTCTCCCATAGTACGAGTTGTCAAAAAAGAAAAAAGAAAAAAAGAAAAAAGGATCGGATCGAAGATCATAAAATACAATACGAATCAATTACAATGAAAAATACAAGGATGACTCGGCATTTGCTGACGGAACTCGGAGACTTGGAACTGACGTATATCCGAGTGGACTACATTTCCAGCCACACAGATTATTGTATATTTTATTATAGGATATAGGATATAGATATAGAACATAACTAGAATATAGAACATAGATATAGAACATAGATATAGAACATAGAATATAGAATAGTTTTACTACCAAATACATAAAAACAAAATCATAAATATGAATCCATATCCTTGGCAGCATAACCCTATGTTGGATGTACAAAATAAATAAAAAATAAAAAATAAATCGGCAAGCCCATGCCGAATTGCATGTTGCACCCGAGACTCTTAGACTCTTCATTATATTATGTTATTCCGAGGCATCGGGTCTCTACAAGGTATATGTTGAAGTATGTTGTACTCCGTACTCCGTAGTTTACAATATACCACCCTAATCGGGGATTACAATTAAATAAAAGAATCTGGTCATTTTAAATGATTCATCACCCTACAATATATAGTCTGACAGGGCTATTACCAATTGTCCAGAGGGGGAAAAAAAAAAAAGTCCATGACGTGACCATTTCGAGCCTAATAGGGAACTATGTCCCTTTTGAGAATATACAACATCGTAACTGTATGATTAAAGGGCTAGACCAATTTGTTTTCTAGAAGATATATCCTGTTTCTCTTGATGTTTCCTATATAGTTCCTATATTTCCCTAATTCCCTATTTCCCCGTAAACCATTTCTCTCGGCTGATATTCCGTGTAGTTTGAAAGCTTAGCTCAATACTTACTGCATTTGGAAATATGTGACGACCAGGGCTAAAATCCTATCAGATCTTATTAATCCAATTAAATCCAATTAAATCCAATTAAATCCAATTAAATCCAATTAAAATCAATTAAAATCAATTAAATCCTATCAGATCCAGTCAATTTCAATTCTCTCAACCCGTGGGAACTCGATCGAGCATCATCTCTCGTATTTGGCGGAGGCGTATTCCGAGTCCATTCACCCCATTCACTTCATTCACCCTAATCACCCCAAAGGTGGGCTTTGGGTTCCTTCATGTGTCTCTACATATATGACAGGGTATGGTATAATATCTACATCTTTTTAATATAATATACAGCCTCATTATCCATCAACAAGAGCAGTGAAAGCACCAGAGCTGACAGACACAGCACCCCCGATAGCACTTTTCACGGGGTACCTTATGTTTTTCGGTTTTCTGAATTTCACTCTGTTCCTGACCCTGTTCGCCCTTTGGTTCCGTTATCTTCCGGTGTTTGATAAACTCCCATGCCCGACTCCGACGAGATCGGGTCTCGCCTGCAATTGCGTCTACGGTGGTTGTTGGCAGGGAATTGTGCGAGGACTCGGCGCACTGAGGAAGCGCAGCGTGTTGGCCATGAAGTTGGCGGGCTTCGACAACGCGACGGACTAAATCTATCCAGTCATTAGTTCTACACACACACTCTCTCTCTTTTCTCCTTGCGGACATATCATACGGGCAAAGGTCTCCTCAATGTTGACTGTCTCGCGAGCACTGGTCTCCATAAATCCACAGCCATGCTTGCGTGCATACTCGAGTCCATCGCGGGATGTCACCACGCGATTATCCTTGAGATCGCATTTGTTGCCCGCGACGATCTTCACTGGCGGTGGCAGACCGACCTGGCCGATATCTCGTACACCGGATTTCTTTCCCAACTCCTGGCGCAGTCGCTCGTTTTCCTCGACGCGTTGCTCCGCCTCCATATTGATCATGTCCATGAAATGATCCAGCGTTTCAAGACTCGAGGGGTTGGTGATATCGTAAACTAGGAGGAAGGCGTCCGAGTTCAATGTCATGGCAGACCATAGCCCCCGGTACTCCTCCTGGCCTGCGGTATCGGTGATGGCAAGGACGTAGGGGCGGCCATCGACATTGCGGGTGACGGAATAGGAATCCTCTGGGGGCCCGATTAGAATTGGAATGGCATCGATCGGATGGGCGTAATACCGATAGTTGGATCATATCTAGAAATGAGAGTATTAGAGAGATTTCCCAGGGTTAATTCGGGGGAGAAAGTGCTCACTCGTGAACCCATTGACTACGGACCAGCCGCATGGTGATGGAGGATTTACCTGCATCCACGATCTGATCAGATCTCGATCGCGCGAACCCCGGAAACGTGGCACCGAATCACGGAGTCAGGATATTCCCAGGAGATAAAAGAAACAACATACCACATCCACCATCTCCGCAGATGGTGATTGAGATCTTGTCCATGGCCAATGGACATTGGAGAGATAGAGAGAGTGAAGAGGGGGGGGAATTGGTCCCGAAGGTAGGGGTTTATTAATTATAATAGGGGGTTTAATATAGGTACTAGTTAACTATTTAGTTTGCTATGTAACTAACTAGTTATAGCCCTTATTAACTAGTGATATGTCTATCTCTCTACCTCCAAGTACCTCATAATGCCATTATTGAATTACTCTCTCTCTATAATTGTCATTGTGAGACATCTGGGGTGTTTTTTTGTCTGATATGAACGTTGGCAATACAATAACACTACACACATAATTTCTACAATTCATAATATATAGAATAGAATAAAGAGAAAGAATAATATATATATATATATAGAACATAGAATATAGAATATAGAATATAGAATATAGAATATAGAATAAATATACGAAGCGTATAAGAGATCTATTGGCGAGTGCTTCCCCACATACATTTGTACATTGGAGACATCAACTCTCTGTCTACACCTCTCTCTCTCTCCCTCTCTCTCCCCCTCTCCCTCTCTCTCTTCTTTCTTCTACAAATATCCATCATATTCACTTTTCATAAACATCCACACAGATCCAATATTTAACGCGAACTTCCGCTTCTGCCCAGGTTGTCATCCTGCGGGGCGATGGAAGTCGGTCTGGGCCCCAGATATTTCCATCATGACCAACATGAACAGCTTCAATTGGGAATATGATGATGAACAGGGCTCACACCCCCAAAACTCTTCATATACAACCTTTCTCAACCAGGGTAATTATGCCTTCGGTGCTATGCTATCCCAGGATGCGGATCTGCCTCTTCAGAATTTCGCACGATCACAGCCTTCGGACCTGGAAGAACCCAGGTCTAATGCCATGTTCACATACGACGGGCTTTCCACCTCGGGGATCTCAATGCCAATGAATATGAACGCCACGAACGCCTATACCTACAATATGCCAACCACCTACTCGGCCACCACCATGGGAATGCCTCTGCAGATGGATCATTCACAGTTTCAGTCTACATACCCACCCTTCCCACCCTCCATGACGATACCCCATTATCCCCAGACCGCTCATCCAGCCCGCAATGAACTATACGATACAACCACCAACTCGACGGCCAATTTCGAGGATTCCGACATTTCAGGTCGCACGAGCATCCGGTCACATGCGCAGGTGCAGGTGCAGGCGCAGCGGGCCCAGCGACAGCCTCTAGAGCGCCGCCTGCCTACTAGCCAGCCGTACCGTGGATCGCAACCGGTGGCTATCCAGCCCAAGAAGCCCGTTGCTACCAAAGGTGAGTTGCGTGAGTTGCGTCTGTGCCTGGCACTCCCTGTTTATGACTGACGCGGGAACGCGCAATCAGAAGATTTCTCGCCGGGCTTTTCCAAGCCCGAGAATGGAAAGACTGAACATACCGGCATATATTCGACAACTGGCTTTGACGTGCTGGGAGCGCTGGTATGTCGCCGTCGTCTCCTTTTTTTTATTATGGAGAGTATCTGACGATATATACCAACCTTGTTCAGAGCCGTGTGGCTATGCGACCCAACCCTAAAATTAACATTGGCGCAGTCGATCTCTCATGTGCCTTTGTTATGTGTGATATTTTGATCGAGGATCATCCGATCGTTTATGTATCAGAGGCCTTTGAACGATTGACCGGCTATACTAAAGATGAAATCGTTGGCCGGAATTGTCGATTCCTTCAAGCGCCCGACGGCAAAATCAACGCTGGCGCTAAGCGGACCTTTGTCGATGGACAAACTGTCCATCGGCTACGGTCAACTATCGACGATCGCAGTGAGATCCAGGCTAGTATAATTAACTACCGCAAGGGTGGACAACCCTTCATGAATCTCATCACGATGATCCCCATCCAGTGGGACTCGGGTGTTTATCGGTACTACATCGGCTTCCAGGTCGATCTGGTTGAAAAACCCGATGCTGTGAGGGGAAGAAATCCTGGTATGCTTTGCTGCATTCTTCGTGGCGAGTTGCCCCCACTAACATTGTATAGATGGTAATTACAGTATTAACTATCGGCGCGATCAGCTGCCACAGTATATAGTCCCTCCACCAGATATATACTCCTCACGACCAGACCTCGGGTTGCGATATGGCCATGACGAAGTGACTACCATTCTCAACGCCATGCGTTCAGCTGGCAATGATGTCAACCGGCACTACCTGGATCGTATTCTGGTTGAGAATACCGATGATGTGATCCATGTGCTTTCATTCAACGGCGAATTTTTGTATCTCTCGCCCTCTTGCCACAAGATTTTAGAGTACAATCCGGTCGAGCTGATTGGCAAGACCCTATCCACCATCTGTCATCCCAGTGATATTGGGCCTGTCATCCGTGATTTGCGGGCGAGTACAACAACCGCTCCAGTGAGTGTTGTGTATCGTATCAGGCAAAAGCACAGAGGATATATGTGGTTCGAGAGTCATGGCGCGTGGCACATCGACCCGAACCAAGGCCGGAGGCATCTTGTCATGACTGGCCGCCCACGACCCGTCTACACCTTGGATCGGATTGCTCGTCTGGGCTCATCCGCCGCGCTGGCTGAGAATGACGTCTGGGCCAAGATTTCTTTGTCTGGTGTCATTCTATTCGTTACGACCAAGGTGAAGCCGGTGCTCGGCCGGTCGCCTGACGAACTAATTGGTAAAGGCCTACAAGAGATCATGAAGCCCGAGGCTGGCGGCACTGTCATAATCACACAAGCCCTGGAGGCAGCCTGTGGTAGACAAGGAGCTAGCATGGCCACCGTTACGGGCAGCCACGAAGAAACGGATGAACCACCCTCATTCAAACACCAAATGTGGCACAAGAAAGGCCATACTATTTCAGCGCTTACCACTTTATACACGGGCGACGCACAGGAGGGAATCAAACCCACCTTCCTCGTCGCCCATATTCAATTTGCTCGATCCTCCCCTCCATCCGCCCGCGCTGCAGAAGACAGTAGTCTCGCTACGCTTACCGGCACTGCACGCAACACAACGCTTACCGTCAATGGCCCCGTCCCCACCCAGCAGTATGGTGCCCTTGGTCAACACATGCCCGACTTATCCAACCTCGTCGGCCGCAACGGTCTGCCCACTGGCAACCGCAGGATATCACCCTCTGCCGACCCGGTAACCTTCTTTACAGAGCTCAACCCCACCCGTGGATCGAGCTGGCAGATCGAGCTGCGTGAGCTAGAGAAACAGAACCGCACCCTGGCCGATGAACTGCAACGTCTGTTGGCTCGCCGCAGGAAGCGCAAGCGCAAGCAGGGTGCTATGGCGGTCGAGAAGTTTTGTGCCATGTGCAACACAAAGAACACCCCCGAGTGGCGACGTGGTCCGAGTGGAAACCGGGACCTTTGCAACAGCTGTGGTCTGCGGTGGGCGAAGCAAATCCGTGGCCAGGCGCAGGCGCAGGCTGCGGCTTCTTCGTCTATTACGGTGGACTGATGGTAAGTAAGTATATCAACTGTTTCTCTCTTTTTTTTTTTTTTCCTACATAAATTGATTTCCTTCTCCGTTTGGGGGTTGGTTTCTTGATACCCCTCCGTTTGACTGTCGATCGACACATGCCACTTTTGAGCGCTTGGAGTTTTGGATTTTTCATTCTCGCATGTCTTTTCAGATGCAGTCTTGGAAATTGAATGCAGAAAAAAAAACATGTTGGCTAAGACTGTAGGCTTTACGGCTAGTAATGACAGCCAAAGCTTGACAAGAACAAGAACAAGCTCCTTTATGAGTCGAAATGTTGGAATATAATATAATACAAAGGAATCCCTATGAAACATCTACTGTCCAAGCAGGGGCCTCCAGCAGTCTGGTCTCCAAAACCTACTGCTTCTTGGACTTGGAACTGTTTCCACGAACCGCCAGCCACTGCTCCAACCAGCGCCTCTCCAATTCCTCCGTCCGTTTTTGATCTTGAGTGCCATAAGAAACATCTACACCACCGCGTTCCTCAACTGCGATTCGCACCTCAGTAGCATTCATAGCCTTAACCCCTCCACCCATACGAATCATCCCATCATCAATAGCCAGGTACTCGACATATCGCGCCAGCCGAGGCCGGTAGATCAAACCAGCAAGCGACTCGCCCGCAGTCTTGTCATGACGCTTAACTAAACCAAAAACCGCACTGGCACGCAGCACATCAGCGGAGCCCGCATCAGCAACCCAGACAGGATCAGCAAAACGCCCAGCAAGCAGGGCCAACTGCTCCGCACCGCCCGCCTTGAGCAAATGCACTGACCGATCCTTATCCCCAGCAACAAACACATCCAGCGCCGCGAGTTTGCGTGCCGTAGCAGCAACGCGCTCCTTCTCCACCTGCGAGGGCACACGGCACGTCGCGGGCGTAATGGCAGAGCCGAAGATCGGGACGATCAGGGGTGTGAACTCGCCGCAGACGATCAGGATCAACGTGAAAGGGATCATGCGGCGGACATCGCGGGCAGAGCGACGAACGAGCTGGAACTGCGCGCGGCCGAGCTTGGATTCTTGTGTTATTGATGGTGCGCTGCGGTTGTTGTTGTGTGTGCTTGTCCGCGGCGGGGATAGAGGGATATAGGCGGGTAGGCCTAGTTTTCTCCGTAGAGGGAGTGAGGCGCGATAGTTCCGGTAGACATTTTTCAGGCCCGTTTTGTAGAAGGTCACGTATGCGCGGCCGAATTCGATATAGCGTTTTAGTTTGTCTGCTGTGCCTGCGGAGGAAGGTAGAGGAGAGGGGGTTGCGACGGGAGCAGGGTGTGTACTGATTGGGGCATTTATTTCGGATTTGGAGGGGACTGAGACGGTGGTTGCTGGAGGAGGTGATGGGGAGGGTTGGCGGGATTGCTGGCTCGGGGCGGAGGTTGAGAAGAGCTGGGACTGCGCGGAGATGGGCAGTAATTGGGGTCGGAGGTGGGAGTGGAAACGAGAGTGAGTCCAAGGTTGGAAATGAGCGTGCAAGGCTCGCTGGCCCCGAGTTATGCTGGCCATTGTTGA